TTTTTTTTTTTTTTTTTTTTTTTTTTTTTTTTTTTTTTTTTTTTTTTTTCTGTCTTATCAAAAGAATTCTTTTGTCTGGCTGAAATACATCACGAAGCTTCCTGAAAAAACACATGTGCACGCATACAGAGAGCAAAAGGAAGGGGGGGGGGAAAAAAAAAGCTGACAAGTCAGTTTTGCATGCCCCTCTAACATACTCCTTCTGTATTTGCAGGGAGAACTAATCACCTTCTATTACTATTGGAAGAAAACCCCTGAAGCAGCAAGTTCTCGAGCCCACCGTAGGCATCGAAGACAGGCTGTGTTTCGGAGAATTAAAACTCGAACTGCTTCCACTCCAGTCAACACTCCCTCCAGGCCCCCCTCCAGTGAATTCTGTAAGTGGAAGCTAAAAGCAATGCATTTATCTTTGTTTAGATGCAGGGAGCAACAGTAATGTAATGGTGCTGCACCTTCGAGTGAATGAAGCAAGGAAATGGAGTTCAGGCGGTTGCCCTCCTGTTCCTATACCATTATGCTGGAATGTGGTAGGCGTCTTTGATCACCAAGTGCTTTGTGCCGTTCTTAAAAGCATCCTGTAAGGGTGGAAACATTGCCCTGGTACTGAATTTCCCTACTCTTTTCTTGGGTTTGTGGTGGTGTATTTTCTCCAGGCTTATTAGAGTAATGGGGATTAGAAAATGCAAAACGAAGGAAGTCCTTGGTCCCTTTGGAAGGAAGTCCCTTACCCATCTTGGTGACCCATACCTTCTGCTCGATCTCAGACAGTGTGCTGCAGCCAGCACTGTTATATCTTAATGCATCTGGGAGGAACTTTTGCCTTGACTGAAGCAGAAGTGTCTAAACGAAGAATAATTACCCGACCCAGTGAGATGTACAGCATTGCAGAGGGTTATGATTAGTAATGCGCACATGGATATAGAAGCTTTTATCCTTATCTAAAAGGCTTATGTTACCCTTTTGAGCTTAAGTCTTTCTATGGACTAAACCCAGCGCATTTCACATGTCTTCTAAAGAAAAATGGACTGTGTGGAAGGCAGAAATTGGCAGACTCTTACTGATACGGGGGAGGTAGAGGATGTGATGAGCAGGCAGGACAGAGTATTCTGGAGAGGATATTAGTGAGGTAGTAGGAAAGGGCTATTAGCTTCCTCTTGCTGAAATTAATAGGATTTATTGCTGATTTCTGTGTGCACAAGAAGTGAGGATCTTGACTCTACAGCTCGACCCAAGATACTTGGCTCTTCAGAGCACATGTGGCTGGAAGGACCCATCCATATGGATCCAACTGCAGGATGAGAATAAAAATTGATTTAGTAAAGGAAAGCAAATTCTAGCCTGGTGTCAATTTTGCAGTCAGGGTTTAAACACCTGTAAGAATTAATGTAGAAATTATGAGAGTGCTAGCAGCTACTGTTATTAAATGGGACCCTGTGTTAATTTGAAGGGTAATGAGTTGATGACAAACGCTAATGGCAAGTACTGTAGAATCCCTCCCTCTCTATAACCTGCATGTATTGCCAAATATCCTCTTGGAACTTTTAGAAAAACAGTATTCTTGCATCAAGGGCTTCTAATTAAAGATATAAGCAAAAGAAGCCACAGGGCTCTCTGCTTGTGACAAATTATAGACCTGTTATGCTGTGAATTTATAGGGGTGGTGCTAGAAAAATGCAGTACTCAATAAGAAAGGATTTACTCCTGAGTTGTTTTAGAAGATGAGGCAAGATACCATTTTTGTGCTGTCTGCAGATTCTCAGTGGTTTAGATGGTGCTTTTTAGCTCACAGCCCTGTAATTGGCTGATCTGCTATATACTGCTTGCCACGAGGGAGAGTGACCTTTTCCATATTCTCCGCTTCTTCATAACATGACATTCTTGGAATGTAAGTTTGCCACAGGTTAAAAGTCTTAATGAGGCTTGCAGTAAGGGTAGGAAAACTGGTAGAATCCTTGCAGTACCTTTCATTTAAAAGAATGGCAACATGTTTTATAAACAGGTACGTTATATGTAAGCGTCGTTTCTTCCACCCACCAAACACATCCAGCTCTTGGGTTAAATATAACTATTGTCTACCAGAGCATTAGCAGCAGACCCCATCTGGTCTAGAAGATGAAGTCTAGAAACAAAATAAAAACTAGAAAAGCCACCACAGTATCTGTCCGTGGAATCTAGTAAAGCAGGATTTAGGTACAGAGTATTTGATTTTAAATTTGAATGGGTTCTAGAGATGATCCTCCTTTCTGTTGAAAATTGTGCCTTTGGAACTCAGCCTCTCTGACTAAACGCGAACAACTTAATTGGAAAAGTCACGTGTGCTGAATCAAAATCTGTGAATTGTAGCACCTATGCATTCCTGGAATCCTCATTTAGTCTGTAGACTGATGAGGTTTGGCCTTGCTTAGTTTGCAAAATCAGAAATAATGGTCGTTGAAGGCAAGGTGGTTGTAGGAAGTCACAAAATTCATGCGAGAACGATTATTATTAATGTTTTTTTTAGCCAAGTAGGAGGAAGTAGAAAATCCTGCTGAGTTTTTCTTCTCCATTTTGTTCTTCTTCCCTTGTTCTTTACTTATTCAGTGGACTTGAGCTCGGCCAGTGAAGATGACTTTGACAGCGAGGACAGTGAACAGGAACTGAAGGGCTACGCCTGTCGTCACTGCTTCACAACCAGTACGCACCTGACTCATTGCTGGCTTTCTCTCTTCTGCTACTGCCTGTTTAATGCAGCTTCATTCAAGCAAGAGCAGTTCCTGTGCATGTGCAGCTGTTCAAAAGAATGTGGGGTTGAATGAGCTAAAACATGCAGCATTCCTAGCAGAGTTAATCATTTGCCATTGCAAATTAATATTGCAGTGACAAAGGAGAATCCTAAGAGGTAGACATTTATACGGGGGGAAAAAAAAAAATCTATATAATCAACTTGTAATGCAGTAAATCAGTATTGGACGGTGACTGTCACACACAAAACTTCTTTATGCTGCATCAGATCTCCCCTGCAGCAGCTTTATTCCTGTAGGTATTCCTTAAGGTTGTCTGATATTTGGGCGTGTGCGTGGCATGGAAGTGTGAACCCCAAAATAGGGAGGGGAAGGCAATGAGAAGTTCATCACTCACTTCACTTTAAGAAACCACAGCTTTGGAGAATAATAGCTGCCGGTTAGCTCCCAGGTAGAGCAGATAAAGCTGCATTCTTTGTTTTCAGAGCTGTAGTTGCTTAACTGTACACAATAGTTAGTAGTTTGTAAACTACTTACAAAGTAAGTAAGTACTACTTACTACTTGCTTAACTATACACAAAGTAGTAGTTTGTAAATTGAAATGTGCGCTGGAACACAGACCAAGCCTGGAACAGGACAAAAGTTTTGCAGAAATTTCTCCAACTTTGTTGCCTGTAGAAAAGCAGCTACTTTTCTAGTAGTTGTGTGCTTTTCTTTTAATAATGCAATGTGTTTGTACTGAATATCTGGTACTTTGTGTGTTTCTAAGCTGTTGTTTTTCCTGCCCCAAGCCTCCAAGGACTGGCACCACGGTGGTCGAGAAAACATTTTATTGTGCACCGATTGTCGCATCCACTTCAAAAAATACGGAGAGCTGCCACCCATTGAGAAGCCTGTGGACCCTCCACCCTTTATGTTTAAGCCTGTCAAAGAGGAAGATGATGGACTCAGTGGAAAGCATAGCATGAGGACAAGGCGGAGTCGAGGCTCGGTAGGCTTAACGCTCTTGCATTGCAGCTTCTTCTGTAAAGAGGTGTTGTCGGGAAGAAGGTGGTCAGACTGCTTTCTCCATCTTGCTTTGCCATGGTGTGTGCCTGCTGCTGTGTTTGTGTGCGTGAGATTTGCTAAGGTTGAGGCTTTCTTTGGAAAGAAATTGCTGAAATGTCTCTTCTGCAAGTTCTAGTCAAACTTGCTATTTCCATGTTTTTAATGACTGGCAGCGGACTGTCATTTGGCACTTGACCGTTGTGTCATTACAGATTTTGTACTATTATGTACCCTTCTTCCAGCTGGATCCTCTCAGAGGTAAGCCCTTGGGCTTGTTTTAAAGGAAGAGTTTGAAAAAAATGAAATGCTGTTCACATGGTCTCCTTGTATTACTGGAGTTAAAATCTCTCCCCTACAGAAAACTGCAGTTTGCTCCCGTGGTTAGTGTGCTCTGTCACAGAGTGTTTACTTGGGGTGAGATGCTGGGAGCTTTACGGTGCACAAGGCACTTGTGAGAACTCTGACAGCAGCTCTGGTTAATTTGATGTTTGTTTTGGGTTGTGGCTGCTAGAAAGCAGCAGATATATTTCTTTCTCTTGCTCTCCCCTCTCCATCTTTCTGATTGTGATGATACGACCGTTGCTTCTGAATATCTTGTGAGGCTACACTGTCAGTGTTTCTGTGGTCGCCAGTCATCCAAAAAATGCCAGACTGGGAGGGAAATAGCATTAATTATTGAAATGTACTCTACTGTGATTCCTTATTGCATAGCAGGAGCACACTGAAACTGGTTTTGGAAACTGGTCTTGAGTGCTTGAATGCCAACAGATAAACTTTTTTAATGAAACGTGAGGGCCCTCTCCTACCTTACTGTGTGTGTATGCACACCTATAAATGTGTCTGCATGCATTTTATAAAGAAAATACAGCATGTAAACAGCAGCAGCTTTGGAACATCTGTCAACTGTTGTCATTTCTATCAGACACAAATAAAATAATCAGCACTTCATTTTTTGAGTAGACGAGATTTTCCTCTTTTTACCCTTAAGTCCAAACGGCGCTTTCAAGGAAAAATTGTAACGATGTTAAATGCTCTTTGTTTTTGATTTTTCAAGCCCTTCACAGGAGTGGTCCTTCCACACCCTGATGTAAGACAGAACAAAGTAAAGAGGTTGGACGAATGCTGACTTTGATACACTTTTATTTCTGTTAAACAAATAGATGTCTACACTACGTAGTGGTCGTAAAAAGCAGCCAGCCAGCCCTGATGGTAGAGCCTCACCGATTAATGAAGACATCCGTTCCAGTGGCCGCAACTCCCCCAGTGCTGCCAGCACCTCCAGTAACGACAGCAAAGCAGATTCAGTGAAGAAGTCTACCAAGGTAAAATTTCCCCGTTGTTCCTTTGTGTTAGGACTGGACACCTGAGGCCTCTTAGGTCAGCTCAATGAAGTGCAGATTCTAGGAAGTCAGGGAATCTCTCCGTGACCTAGAAATTCCTGCTTGTGTGGATAAGCAAAAATTTTAATGGTGTATCTGACTGATGCTTTGTTCCTGTGCTCATAAGGATGAGTAGTGATCATTAAAGTACCCCCACGTAACCTTACTGCTCTCATGATAAATTAATCCTTCAGTTTCAGATGCAAATGTAAGCATTAGGCTCGTGCAAGTAATACAGTAATAAATAGAGAAATGCTATATGTGAGACAAGTAGACAGTTTGGGGGATTTTTTTTTTTAAAGCAGTACTTAATCTTTGTTTACAAAGGGATGTGAATATGTAGTAATTGAGACTACTTCTGTTACTGTTTTTCTGTATGTATATTTGCTTGATTTTTCAGGGCAAGCTGACAGTTTAGTCTGTTTAAATGAGTAAGTGCCTTTCCAGGAGAGTACTGCAGTAACACAGCCAGATGAAGTGGGAAGACTTGCCATTAAGCAGTGTAAATTGAAATGTAGCAAGTATTTTAAAAAGAAAAATAGTCAAAACTGGAGTATGGAGCAAGGTTTCACATGATAAAACTGAGAACTTCACAAAATTTGAAGTTAGGTTAGATAATTATGTGATGTATAAAGCTGTCCCAGGCCATAAAAGAAGGTAGTAATCTTGTAATAGCTACTCAGTGTTAGCCCTATATTCGAGGGGATGTAAAAATATCCCTCTCAGGATATCAGGAGTAAAGCAAGACTTCCATGTAGTAGAAGGAGGCTTATCCTGTGCCCGTCTACCGCAGAAATTCTTCTCCATCCTGTTAACCACTGGTGTTGGTCTCTGTTAGAAGAATACACTGGGCCAGTTGACCTGGTACGAGTTGCTGATAGACTTGATCCCACACAGCTGACAGCTGCTTTGTTCAAAGCGGTTCTCCACTTCCAAAGTTTGAGACCACATCTGCGTGATGAGGGACGCTTTACTTCATGTTTTCATTTTCCTGCTTGCTCGTGTCAGAAATACGTGCAGGGTTTGTGTGCAAACTGCTGCTTGGCTTTCCATCTGCAGAAATAAAATTGCGGTCTGATTTGGGTTCTGGTTTAAATTTGACCTCCAGAGGGAGTGGCTAGAGCATTATGTAGATGCAGCAATTCTGGGAGCTGCTCCTGGCAGAGGGCAGAACACAGGAGCAGCTCCTGAGCGGATTCCCCCTGCAACTGGACAGAGGGACAAATGTGTCCTGGATTGTTGTTAAATACAGACTTCCTCAACTCCTGATCAGTTCTCCTGCTGATTTATTCATTCTTATTTGTATGAATATAGTAGCACTGACCTACACTCAATTTATTTTTGCATTTACATCACCGGTAACTATTGTGTTCTGCTTCGTTTGTGGCAGAAGATAAAAGAAGAGGTATCTTCTCCTCTCAAGAACTCCAAGAGGCAGCGGGAAAAGGCAGCTTCTGACACAGAGGAACCTGACAGGTCCAATGCCAAAAAATCCAAAACTCAAGTGAGTCCCATAGAGGAATTTTTTCTCTCAGGAGAGTGGTTTGAGAGTGGGAGGGGGTGAAAAGCCAATAACAAACCAAAAACATCAAATCAATTTAGGCCACAGCAAATTGTAACTTAATCTATGGCTGGAAAGCAACCAATATTGTGATGCGTTCCTTCTGTTGAAAAGAAGTGGAATGATACAGGGTAAGTCCAGAAGTCTTTTGTTTGTTTTTGTTTTGTTTTAATATCAATATCAGCCTTACAGGAGTATACTTAGATTATTTTCCATCAATATTTTTTTTAATTGAAATTCATTTTTTATTCTTCTGTGGCAAGTTAGCAGACCACTACTGGAGTACTCTCGATTTAATGGTATCAAAGCTCAATTGAAATACTTTCAAGATGTCTTTTCAGCTCCGTGTACCTGACCAGGTTCAGTCTGTGCACAGGGTTTGGGAATTTTGACGCTGAGCTTTCCCTATTACAGAATCACAGAATGGTTGAGGTTGGAAGGGACCTGAAGGTCAGCTAGTCGACCTGACTGCCCTGGACCGTGCCCAGGTGGCTTTTGAATATCGTCAAAGATGGAGAGTCCACAGTTTTTTCTGGGCGGCCTCATAGTGAAAAAGTGTTTCATTATATTCAGGCAGAACCTCCTGTGTTTCAGTTTGTGCCTGTTGCCACTGGACACTACTAAAAAGAGCCTGGCTCTGTTGTCTTTGCTCTCTCCCTTCGGATAATTATGTTGCCTGTGCTGTTTTAAGTCCTGTGAGGTTCAAAGGGGGGTACCTGTACTTGTGTTTGCACAGCGTGGGCAATAGGTTGCATCCTGTGGCACGCTGGTAATGTTCTTCGTGCAGTTTTGTCACGCACAGCGTTATTCTTCCTTCCCGCTGTCCCTGCAGGAGATCAGCAGGCCAAACTCTCCCTCGGAGGGTGAGGGCGAAGGGGAGAGCTCCGACAGCCGCAGTGTCAATGACGAGGGGAGCAGCGATCCCAAGGACATCGACCAGGATAACCGGAGCACGTCACCCAGCATCCCCAGCCCTCAAGACAATGAGAGCGACTCGGATTCATCAGCTCAGCAGCAAGTGCTGCAGGCACAGCCCCAAGTGCTGCAGGCACAGAGCGGATCTGGCCAGGCTCCCCCTCCTACGCCACCCATCTCAGCCCAGCTACCAGCATCGCTGCCAGCAGCCTCGAGCGCTGCTCCGGCTGCACCGCAGGTCTCGCCGTCAGCATCCCAGCCCTCGAGCCAGCCCCAGCCCCCC